GTTAGCGGGTTTCTTCCAAACGATTAATTAATTAATTCCTTATAGTTAGCGAATAAACCCAATAAAATAAATAAAAAATGAAGGTCGCGAGCCATTCCCCATTGACTACCAAATGACTTGGTGGCCTCACAAATTCAAGGCCCTATTCAACGACCGATGGCTAGTCTTCGTCTGTGCCATGTGGATCCAGTCCGTCGCCGGAGTCGGTTATCTTTTCGGCGGCTCTATGTCGCCGGTGATCAAGACTACCCTAGGTTACAACCAGAAACAGGTCGCTCTTCTCGGCGTTGCTAAAAACCTCGGTGATGCCATCGGGTTCGTCTCCGGTGCCTTATCGGAGGCCTCACCTTCCTGGATGGTTCTGCTCGTCGGTGCCGCTCAGAACCTTGTCGGCTACGGTGTTGTCTGGCTCGTCGTCACGGGTCTATTGCCTACTTTGCCCCTCTGGATGGTAAGCTCTTCGTTATTGATTTTTGCATACATACATTCACATTTGCTATTTCGTGCCTTAGCAAGGTCATTTCCTTCTGGATATGGGTATCGATTATTTTCATTTTGCTATGATTCTCTGTTTCCTTATTTAATTTGAACAATATCAAAATGTAGGAGACAAAATATTGGATCCTGTGTCTAGTTAAATCAAATGATATGTGGATAGATTTAATGTATATGAAGCTGGATCAGTGTACTGCATCACTGGCCAAATCAGATTACAATAACCAGTTTTTATAGTTTTCGATTAGTCTACTACTGTGCATAATATGTGTCTTTGGGGACAATCTCAAGATTTCATTCCTATGTTCGATACATATATTTGCTAACTGAGTAAGCACGGATGCTATATATTAGTATTTTGATAACTTCACTTTTATAGGCATGTAAATGCTTTTTTTTTTTCCTGGGAAATACCATGTGAAATGGATATCAGGGAAGTTATGAGTAAACTGTTGTACATGATTTGATATAGTGTATATATAAGTTTATGTGTATTCGATAGCCAGGAAGGCATTAATAGCTCTGATGTTATTAACTCTTATGATACTGCAGTTCGCTGTCTTTTTTTTTTTTTAATACAGTATGGAATATGTGCATTGTATCTACATTCATATTATGTGCCATAGTACTATTAATACCACTAGTCTTAATTTAAAATTATTTCCTTGGATACTATTTCTCATATCAGTTATTAATGTGCATGATTTTCTTGTATAGGTTGGAATCTAATACATGTCTTCTACGTTCTTTCCTTGCTGCATATACTACAAATGTTAAATGTGAATTTTCTGAACTTCATTTTAGGAGAGTTTGTGGGTGAAGGCATTTTACTATTACAAGTACGTTATTCATATGGAAATCTAACTCTATATCTGCATTCATTTTGTTATTCAAGCTGGTGTGGCTGTTGCACAATAAATTTTATTAAGATTGGTAAAGGTAAGTCTTAAGAACTGTTACTATCGCAGTGCTGCATAGAACAAATGCTATATGTTGTAAATACAAGTTTGTTCTGGACTAAGATTATGGGTTTTTTTCCCGAGAGACTTACTAGCGATGTTTGCCAGATTCTATTGGAAGTTAAGTCATCTTTCATTCCCTAGTTTGCTAGCTGAGCATATCACAAATTATCCATTAGTTTCTTGAGCTTTTTTTGGTAACCAAGTTTGCGGAGCTTTAGGACAGATTTAAGAATATAGGCAGATACAGTTCACTCTCACATGTATGGTAATGAAGTAGAGAAAATATAAAAGTCCTTTCCTCTAAGTTTTTGCTCTATTATTAGGGAAGTTTGGACCAAGAGATGAATTCTTGGTCAGGATGGATATAAGTATCATACATGATTCAATAGACTAACTGACTAAGTAGAAAC